AATAAATAAATAAATAAATAAATAAATAAATAAATAAATAAATATTTTTTAAAAAAATTTGAAAAAAATTATAAAGGAAACTTTGTGGGGGAATATTATTTTAAAGTGTGTGATTTTGTTTATGCTGCATTTGGTTAATTTTGAAGCTGTGATTCTTTGCCTTTCTAAAATACCTGATGGTCTAATAATAAAGAGCTGAATGGCCAATAGCAAGGCAGGAGAAAGGATAGGCAGGGCTGGCAGGCAGAGAGAATAAACAGAAACGAGGAAGAAGAGGAGCAAGAGAACAAGGAGAAGAGGACATCAGGGGCCAGCTACTCAGCTACACGGCAAGCCACAGATAAAGAAGTAAAGAAAGGTATATAGAAATAGAGAAAGATAAAAATAAAATTTAAGAAAAACTGTCAAGAAGCAAGCCAAATTAAGATCAGACATTTGTAAGTAAGAATAAGCCTCTGTGTGTGATTTATTTGGGAGCTGGATGGCAGGCCCCCAAAAAAGCCAAAACAGTAAAACATCACACAACAGAACCTCATAATTAAAAGCAGAAACTTGGTCAGATATTTGTAAGCCATTGTTATAGAAGCATTATTGATAACAGCTGAAAGCTATAAGCATTTATGTATCTACCAACAGATGAATGAATAAGCAAAATGTGTCATATAAATACAATGGCATTTTTAATATTTATTTATTATGTATACATAATTCTTTTTTAATATTTATTTATTTATTATGTATACAATATTCTGTCTGTATGCCTGCAGGCCAGAAGAGGGCACCAGACCTCATTACAGATGGCTGTGAGCCACCATGTGGTTGCTGGGAATTGAACTCAGAACCTTTGGAAGAGCAGACAGTGCTCTTAACCACTGAGCCATCTCTTCAGCCCTCAATGGCATATTATTTAACCTTGTAAATGAAAGGAATCTAGAGACATGCTACAATATGACTGAATCTGAGGGATATCATCTTCGATGGAGTAAGCCTGTTCTAAAAGAATAAATGCCATACGATTTTACTTTATAGTAGATGGTTATATTCATAGAGTCAGGAAATAGAATTATGGTTGTCAGGGAATGGGGAAGGAGAAGAATGGGGAGTTATTGTTTAATGGAGACAAACTTTTACTATTTATTTTTATTGTTTTTATTTAGTGTCTGTTTGTCTGTGTGAGTATGCTATGTATGTGGACACAAGGGGAGGCCAGAAGAGGTTGCTGGATGCCCTAAAGATGGGGTAACAAGTGGTTGTTAAAGTACCTGATGTGGGTGCCAAGAGATAAACGCTGGAAGAACAGTGAGAACTCTTAGCCTCTGAGGCATCAATGCCTCCAACCCCAGAGAGACAAACTTTTATTTGGACAAGTGAAGAAAATTCTGGAGATGGATGTGGCGATGTCTTCACCAGCATGGATGTTCTCACTGCTGCTGAACTATATACTTTTAAATGGCTAAGACGGTAATTATTGATTTTCCTGTTATAAAGACTTCCCATCCATTCTCCGCATCTCTTACTCCCAGGGTTGACATTTCCCTTCAGTGCCCTTCTTCGTACAGTAGTCAGTGTGCAGTCTCCTTTGTGGGCCGGGGGTGGGGGTGGGGGGTGGGAGCTTGTCTCTGGGCCGGCGAGGGAGGGGGGACAGAAGTGGAATTGACTCTTTTCAGAGCCCTTGGGAAGGCTGGCCGTTGACAGAGGCATGGCGGATGTGAGGGCAGCCACTGAGTTTTTCTCCTAGTCGTCTTCCCTGCTAGGTTATTTTTCCGTACTCTCCTGGATGCCTGGAACTGCGCAGCTCATGAGGTCAGGACAGGACAAGCAGCAGACCCCCAAAGGAGGGGCACGGGGAGACCCCAGGGTGGCTTCTGGGATAGGACACAGCCCTGCCTTTGACTCTCCTGCTGAGGAGTTTGCTCTCCTGCCTTGGCACTGGTTCCCCTCAGTCCCAGGAGACAGAGCCTCTTCTTGAGATTCTTGGAACCAATAGGCTTTGTGCTGCAAGACCTCTGAGTACTGGGGAGCTGCTACCTGGCAAAGCCCTCACCTTGGCCAAGCTCAGCTCATTGCCAAGTTACCAGGAGACTGTGCTGTGGGATCTGTGATTGGGGGGGGGGGGGGAGTTGAGGCTTTACAACTAAGATGCTTATGCCTATTGAGGGGTATGGATGCCTCTCCACTTGGCCACCCAGAGCTAAGGTACAGGGGCCAGGGCCAGGCCTGATCCAACACCTCCAACCCATGCCATCAGATGTTAGGATGGACTGCAGCAAGCTGGGTACTGCTGGACTGGAGACAGGTTTCTAGAAAGGACTCAAAAGCTCCATCCCACCCTCTCCGATCCTGCATCCTCGTTCGTCTAAAAAGGCAGCTAGAATGCAGTTGGGAAGAGAGGGAGGAAGATCAGGCCTAGGAAGGAAGCAGTGAGATGAGATGGCGGAATGACGTTAACAGAGGAGAGTAATGAAGCCTCTGTGCTCACATGTGAAACTCAAATGCTCAAGAACATACTCTGGGAGAGCTTTTGTCTCTCAGGCTGACCTGAGCTTCACTGTGTGGCCCAGTTCAGCCCTGCGTGTCTGATTCTCCTGTCTCAGCATTTAGGGTGTTGGAATTACAGGCAGGAGCCACCAGGCTATTCGTGTTCGGCTTCACTTACCATGGTTTTGAACTTATCTTTCCTTTTCTGACTTAGACAGCACATCTGTGTGCCCTTTCTTTTCTTCTTGAAGCAGTGCCTCTGACAGGGACGCTCAGTCAGTGGATCTACCTCATTAGTTAGATAAGCCTAATGTAATTAGACAACAAAGCCACAAGATGTCACTCTTTAGCTGAAAAAAATCTATTCAAAATGTTATTCAGATCTTGATAACAGAGCTACAGGGAAAAAAAAAGTCTGTGACCGCTTTTGGTGTTTTTCCTGTGAGAATTTTTTTTTTTCTGAGAGAAATTTAGAAAGGATTTTCATCTGTAAAATCCATTAATTATCTACTGGTAATTACAAAACTTTTGTTAGCATATTCCTGTTTTAATGTTATTAGTGTTTCTTAATGCTGCAGCTGTAGATACCAATTTGTTTTTATTAACAATTTAACTAGTATACTTAATACCAAAATTAGATTAGGAAATAAATATATTTCAGTATTGAGGTGTAAACACAGTGCCTTGGACACACTAAGCAAGTCTTGACTAGTGAGCAACATCCCCATAACCTGTAGGAATAAGTGCTTTAACAAAACAAAGTAAAAAAATGCTTTCTTTTATTATTAGTGTGTGGATGGGAGGGGCAGGTGTCACTGTGCCTGCATGAGATTGCAGGGCAATTTTTGTGGAGTCAGTTTTCGTTTTCCTGCCTTTACATGGGTCTCGCCAGCCCCTTGGCAATGAATTCTTAAAAGAGAGAGAGACAGAGAGAAAAGAGGTCACATATATTATGGGGTGAAAAGGGGTAAATACAAAATCCCAAACTTTAAAAATAACTTTGCTTAAAATACAAGGTCACATTCAGATACACAGTGAACTCAAGCCAGGATTGGGTATGCGAGACCCTATTTCAAAAGGGAGGGGGCTAAAGAGATGTCTCAGCAAGTAAAGGGTCGTGCTGCCAAGCCTCATCATCAGAGTCTGAGCCTTCAGTCCTTGAGCCCCACAGGGTGGGAGGAGAGGATAGGCTTCTGAAACTTGTCTTCTGACCTCCACAAGTGTGCTGTAGCATTTGAGCACATATACAGCAAACAAATAAATAATAAATGTAAAACTCTTTCACCTTATACAGTTTATCACACACACACACACACACACACACACACACAAACACTTGTAAGTTAAAAAAAAAAACAACCACACAGCAAATTAACCAGACCCAAAGTCTATCCCTCCACTACAGGTTAATACTTAGAAATTACACTATTTTAGTTTCTATTACTTTCTGACTACGAAGAAAATAGCTCTCTTTTAGAACCTGTAAGTTTTGAAAGAGATTTAGAACTAATTTCTCATACCCTCAAATAGTTAAAAACTAAAATACCTATCCCTAGATGCACTGATAAAAATATACAACTGAGTGATATGAAAAACCAAAAATAATGAGGCCTTCAAGATGACTCAGGAGGTAAAGGAGCTTGCCGCCGTACCCCACAAACTGAGTTGGATCCCTGAGACTCCCGAGATAGAGAGAGAGAAGAGAACTGGTTCCTGCAGGCTTTTCTCTGACGTACCCACGTGCGTACACGCACACACGCACGCATGCACACACACAATACATTTAATGTAAAAAGAGAAAGGAAACTGTGCAAATAGTCAAATAATATCTGGTTCTGAACAATTTTGTTTCCTTTTATCTTTTTTAATCTTAAAACTTGGGTCTTCATGTCTAACATTTATTCTTCAGATAAATAAGTAAAAGTTACAAAATAAAAGAAAGACTTGTGAACATTTGCGTTATTTTCAGCGATGGAAGCAAAATATAGCATTTATGTTTCACATCACACGGCTGTTTCTACCATACTTCTGTGGTGTGTGGGTCTGCACGAGGGTGTTTCTTCTGTCTGTATTTGTGGTGTGGGAAACCCAGTGTGAGAGAAATCTGGGAGGGGCATAGAGAGGGAGGCCCCTTCTGTCCCATTGATAACAGGTTCATTCAGAGACCCCTTTAAAACAGACTAATCCCTTATGCAGTCATTCGCTCTACTCTAATAGGGCCCCTTCACCTCCTCTAGAATTCGGTAAGCTAAAAGTGCATGTGTCCTGAAATGATTAACCTGAAATGATTTTGTAGACACTTTGGCGGGGGGGGGGGGGGGCCTTCCTATCACAATAAACGTTTCAAAAACGATTTCTTAAACAGTAAGTTGTTCTCCTAGGACAACTCTTTAGAGGGGCTCCCTGCAGCTAACTGAGAACATTGGTTTCCAGAAAGTACGGTCAGGGGATTTGGCTGGTTCCTGTGCCCAGGGTGAGGGTTGCATGGGACTCATCCGTAGCCTTCATCCGCAGATCCGAGGATGCTCCTCGCCGCGTGCTGCCTGCATTGAAGCCACAGGGACCCTCAGAAGAGTGGGATGGCCACCGCGAGCAGGAGTCCTCCGAGACCGCGAGCGTTGCTCTCTCCGCTGAGGCTGCTGTTGTTGCTGCTGTTGCTGAAATGCTGTCTCCTCGCGGCCGCCCGGAAGGACAAGGGGGCGGCTGGTAGGGAGGCGGGCCCATTCTCGGGCCCCACGGGCGGTTCCTCGGGTCGCTTCGTGAGCCCAGAGAAGCACGCGTGCAGCTGGCAGCTCTTGGTGCCGGCCCCGGGGACACCGACGGGCGGCGAGCTGGTCCTGAGTTGCAAGGCCCCGGGCGGGGCTCGCCTGCACTGCGCCTACCGCGGGCATCCGGAGCGCTGCGCGACCTCGGGCGCCCGGCGCTCGCACTACTGGAAGCGGCTGCTGGGCGCACTGCGCAGGAGACCACGACCCTGCCTAGACCCCGAGCCGTTGCCACCGCGTCTGTGCGCCCGCAAGAAGGTAGGCTCCGAGCTACAACCGCCCGCGCGCCCCACCCTGTCCGCGCGTTCCGTCGAGCAGACACGGGCCAGAGCGCGGAGCCGGGCTCGGCAGCGACAGCAGGTGTTGTCCCCGAGCTCGCCGCCGTCCGGGGAGAAGCCTTCGAGGGCGAAGACCAGAGTGGGCCGGAGGAAGGTGGGCTCGGACCCGGTCCCAGAGCCTCCCGCGGTGGTAGGGCTCCAGCCAGACGGACTGGATCAGAATGCCCAACTCATTGAGACCTACTGCACCGAGAAGTGGCACTCCCTCTGCAACTTCTTTGTCAATTTCTGGAATGGCTGATGCTGCGGTCCTCGAGGGGGGCACCAGGGCCAGGTGCTGCAGAGCAGTGGGCAGTGCAGCCGCAGGCGGGAGGCTCGGGGCGTCTTAGACAGTGGGAACAGGGACGGCGAGTAGGCAGGAGTCCAGATTCCAAAATAGGGTACGGGTCAGGGTGGGGAGAATCTGAGACAGCAGAGGAAGAAACGTTCTTGAAACATCTCAATTTTGATTTAAGAGCAGAAGCAATAGTGGAAACGGATAGGTTTTTATTACGTTTGCAAAAACTGTAGACTAGGGAGAGAAGCTGAGAATAGGGGGAATGAAGTCACTAAAGAGGTGCGAATCTCTCCTGTGAAGTAGGAGACGATGTATATTAACACATTATTATTAAAATGTAATTGTAAGAACCTGAGCCAGGTTGAATTGTTCAAAGTCTTCTTGGTTATTCAGCTGACTGATTAGTTTTTCTCCCCACCCCCTTTTCTGGATTGTTATGAACTCTGGGTGTGACAACATCACATTTTCTATGTGGATTGAAGCCTTATGGGTACAAAATAAATCCAGGAATGGATTATTAGGACAATTGCTTTTCAGTTCCTTTAACATTGCTTCTTTGAAACTGAATTTTGAGACTACCTAAAATCAGTGAGTTCAGTGCTCTCTAGATTTCCAAATACAAACAAAAGTCCCCAACTCTTTACTTTTTATCGCTCTTTTGAAACTCAGATAAAATGTAGACATGTAGACATGTATCTCAGTTGTTTGGACCCTTATCGCCTGTGTAACTAAATTAATTTTTTTCTTTTTTAATATGATGTAATGATCGTCTTTAATAAAAATACTCAAAGAGTTATAAAACAATGGAAATTCTGTTTTGTCATTTAATTCTAAATATACCTTTATTAAATCCCACATCTGTGTGTGTGTGTGTGTGTGTGTGTGTGTGTGTGTTTGAGACTGTCATTTTCTCAAGACCTTGATGCCTCAGACATTCAAGTTCTGGGTTTATAGGCACTCCACCATGACCAACTTGAATTAAGTTCTTAAACACAATGTGAATCGTTGTGAAAAGAAACAAAAATGTGTATAAAGCAAGGGCCACTAATAGGCAGCTTCTCATTGTTCTGCTTGAACTTCCCAGGGCATTCTCTCTCTCTCTCTCTCTCTCTCTCTCTCTCTCACACACACACACACACACACACACACACACACACCTCTCATTCCCTGCTAGTTTCTCTCCGGAACTGTTTCCTTCTCCTCTTCCTTTCCTCTTTCCTCCAATTTGGATTAATTGTCAACACTTTAAGATGAAATAATTTTATATAAAACCCCAAAGTTTTGGTTTTCTTGAAACAAAAGCAGATCTGTTGACACCAGGCCTGTCTTCCCACATGGTAACAGACTCGCTGACTGTCAGCTGCCTCTGTTTGGATTAGGTGTGTTTTCTAGAGTTCTTGCTTATTCCAAAACATCAATCAATTTTATTAATATGGTGTGTGTGTGTAATTGGGGATTGAGCCTAGGGCCTTGTGCATATTAGGCAAGCACTTGATCACTGAGCTATATCCAAGCTGGGCTTTTGGTGTCTTTGTATGTGTGTTTGTCTGTGAGTGTGTACATATGGCAGTCAAGGGGCAACTTGCGTGCCGGAGTTAGTTCTCACCTTCCACTGTGTGGGTCCTGGGGATTGAGCTCAGAGTGTCAGCCTTGACTGGAGGCTCCTATACCAACTGAGGCATCTTGCTGAGCCCCTAAACTTGTTTTTAAATTTTAGTTTGAAACAGGGTTATACTCTGTAGCCACATGAACCCTGAAATCTTCCTGTCCTAGCTCCCAAATAGCTGGGATGAAAGGCATGTCCCACCACGCCCAGTTATCTTTTATTAGCTTATATACCAGCCTGAGTTCGATGCCAATGCAAGATCCACTCCCCAGGTATAATATGTTTCTGTTGACCCCTTCTATTTTTACTCTCTCCCTTTAAAAATATCAGTAAGGGCAACAAATTCCCGACTTTCCCTTTTTTGATCTGCCTCTGGGAACTAGGAGCTATTTTGTGCTCCTCTTGTGTGTTTTCTGGATTTACACAATTGTCAAAGCATGCACATTGAACAACATGTTTGGGTAGGCTTATGTGATCTCATGTTGAGTAACACTGATCCTTAGATTAAAATTCATCCTGGTCAAGGAAAGGAAACTCAATGTCTCTGGAGACCATTCTGCAGAAGTATGACCCAATGTACGAGGTATCTGAAAAAAACGAGCAAACGGCATGCTTCACGAGAAAGAAGGGATGGAAAGGCACACGGCTAGGACCGTGCTTCCAGCTCTCTGTGAAAGAGGACTGCCAATCCCCCTGATGGACTGACAAACTTCTTTCTAAGAAAGAGGAAAAGGTCACGCTCTGTGTGTCCAAGCAAGCAGGCAGCCGGCATCCCTGCTCCCTTACTCTCGGAGAAGAGCTGTGCCAGGATTCTGCCTAGGGAACACAGGAGAGGGACAGGAGTCAGCTACTCTCAGTGGGGCCGGCAGGGACCAGATTCTCCCATCTGTCTTTTGAATGACATTGGCTAAGTCTGAGGGTCTCCAGGGCTGTATGGAGATTGGGTTTGGTTAAGTCTGGGACTTGAAAGCCATTGCCTTGAGAAATTTATACACATAGTCTCCACAGAGATAACAACGTGCATATCAAGATGTATAACATGTAGAGTACATGATGTAATCCAAGAAAGCTGTGGACTTCAAAGAGCTGGAGAAAGGCACCTGAGATGTCCAGGGAAAGAGAGAAAAACCTCTGTGTCTGGGACAAAGGTTTGGAAGAGTGTGCTAGAAAGACAAGACTGCGGCTGGGAGAGGACTGAATCGAAATCTCTATGGTAACGAGGAGGATGGTTCTGGGAGACCTGAGTGTTTCCCCACAGGGGCACCATCCAGGGTGGAGGGAGAGTTGCCAGGGCACACTAACACTTACGGTCAGTGCCGAGGTCGGAAGGTATCAAAGAGGAAGGCACTGGCCGCTGTCTACGGGAGAAAGAGAGGTTATCATAGACATAAAGCCACCTAGTTCTGGTTCTGTGTTCAAAATTATTTGGCATTCAGGAGGCAAAGGCAGGCAGAGCTCTATAAGTTCAAGGTTAGCATGGTTTATATAGTTACTTCTGGGCCAGTCTACGTGGTAGACTCTGTCAAGAAAGAAAGAAAGAAAGAAAGGAAGGAAGGAAGGAAGGAAGGAAGGAAGGAAGGAAGGAAGAAAGAAAGAAAGAAAGAAAGAAAGAAAGAAAGAGGGCTGGAGAGATGGCTCAGTGGTTAAGAGCACTGCCTGCCCTTCCAAAGGTCCTGAGTTCAATTCCCGGCAACCACATGGTGGCTCACAACCATCTGTAATGAGGTCTGGTGCCCTCTTCTGGCCTGCAGACATTCACACAGAATATTGTATACATAATAAATAAATAAATATTTTAAAATAAAAAAAAAGAAAGAAAGAAAGAAAGAAAGAAAGAAAAGAAAAATGAAAAAGAAAAGAAAAAAGATTATCTGCCTTAAGATACTGGTCCAATTTATACATTTGCTTGACAGACATAGGAAATGGAAAGTGGTTAGTCACAGTGTCTTGGTACACTAACAGTCTGCCCTACATTTGTAGCCCAGAATGCAAATTTGTACAAGAATATTATTAGATTCATAAAAGTGCTAACTTTATATCATAGCTCATTGCCTAAGCATAATTATCAACTGGAAGATGTGTTTTATCATTTTTTTTAAAGATTTATTTATTATGTATACAACATTCTGCCTCCGTGTATGCCTGCACCCCAGAAGAGGGCACCTGATCTCATTATAGATGGCTGTGAGCCACTATGTGGTTGCTGGGAATTGAACTCAGGACCTCTGGAAGAATAAACAGTGCACTTAACCTCTGAGCCATCTCTCCAGCCACCAGAAGATGTGTTTTAATTCTTTACATCCTGGGGATAATCTTCCCATTTTGATATTCAGCACAAAGTTCAAGACTAAACAGAGTCCTTGAAAAGGTCATCATAGAAGGGCACTCAGCCAGTCGCAAAGGAAATAAACAATGGAATCTTTGGGGGTTGGGGAACCAGTTTCATTGCCCTTTCCAGCTGACAGAAGATGCCCATATCCCTGGCCCACAGGCTTCCAGCCGTCAGAAGCCACCCATATCCCTGGCCCACAGGCTTCTTCCATCTTTGAAGCTGGCAACCATCTCATTCACTGATTCTATATTTATATTTTTTCAGAATTTCATTTTCATGCCTGCCTCTCTCTTTTTACAAAATAAACAATAACAAAAACAAAACAACATCATCAACAACGAAAACCACTAGGCATGGTGGTACACATATTTAGTCCCAGGACTTGGGAGGCAAAGGCAGGCAGATCTCTCTAAGTTCAAGGTTAGTCTGGTCTAGAAATGAGCTATCTGCTATAATCCCACAAACTCTAAAACAAAGAGATGAGACAAAGGAAAGCATTGTATAATGATGAGTTAATTCATGCCAGGCAGTGGTGATGTACACCTTTAATCCCAGCACGCAGGAGGCAGAGGCAGGTGGATCTCTGAGTTTGAGGCCAGCCTGGTCTACAGAGCAAGTTCCAAGCCAAACTACACAGACAAACCCTGTCTTGAAAAAAAAGGGGGGGGTTCAATTAGAAAATAGTGATCCTAAGTTTGAATGTATACAACAACAGCTACAAAGCACAAAAAGCAAAAACCAAGAGAGGTTGCCAGATGACTGAGTGGATGAAGCGCTTGTCTCTAAGCCTAAAGATCTGAGTTCAATCCCTGGGACCCACGTGGTGTTGGGAGAAAATTAACTTCCATAAGTTGTTCTCAGACTTCCACATGTGAACACAAGAACACACACAAATGTGCACACAAAAAATAAATAATTAAAATAAAATTTAAAGAGAAATATATAAAATCACAATTATATCTAAGGATGCCAATATTTCTTTGTTGGCAATTGAACCAAAATGACAAAATCAAGAGGCTAGAGAGATTGCTCAGTGGTTAAGGACACCTGCTGCTATTTCAGAGGACCCAGGTTCAACTCCCAGCATCCGTATGGCAGCTCAGATTTGCCTGTAACTCTAGTTCTAGGGAATCCCAAAGCCTTACACACAATCCCACAGTCTCACACAGACATACCTGTAGGAAAACCATAAATGTACATAAAATAAAAGGAAATAAAATCATTTCAAAAAGAAAAAAAGACCGCTGGACGGTGGTGGCTCATGCCTTTAATCCCAGCACTCGGGAGGCAGAGGCAGGAGGATCTCTGTGAGTTCCAGACCAGCCTGGTCTACAAGAGCTAGTTCCAGAACAGGCTCCAAAGCCACAGAGAAACCATGTCTAGAAAAACAAAAACAAAAACAAAGAAAGAAATAAAAAGAAAAAAAAGAAAAGAAAAAAGAAGACAAAATCAGAAGCCAGGCATGGTAACATAAGCCTGGAATCCTAGCATTTAGGATGTAGAAGCAGTATAATTATAGTGAGCACCCCCCCCGACTCCCCAAAAAAAGGACAGGAAAAAGTCAGTAAAGATATAAAAGACGTGAACAACATGACCATAAGAAAGGCTTGATTGACACATACGGAGAGCTGTCAACAAAGCAAACCATGTTCTTTCCCAGGCACCCTAGTACAGTCAGTCACCAATACAGACCAGGCTGAGACCAAAACAAATGGCAACCCATTTGAAACAGTTTAATTGATGCAAAAACTTCTCCAATGAGAACAGAATTAAGCTAGGGATCAGCTACAGTAAGAAGACTTCCAGATATTTAAAAAGTAAACAC